ATGAGATTTTGAATAGAAACTGGGCTAAAGCCCAACCCGAACCCACATTAACTAGTCAAAATCCGACTAAGCCTGACCCAAGATAAGGCCGGCCCCCAAACGTCCAACAAATATATATATATATATATATCTATAGCGACTGTTGATTTTTAAAAAAAAAATTTTTCTGTCGATTTATTTTTTTTTAAATGCTATTTTAAAATTTTACCTAAAACAATTAATGAGGGCATTAAAAGTGAAGGAAATTGAATATTTATCACTAATCAGATTGATTACTGTCCGTTAATTTAAGTGCTGTAATTGACAGAAAAAATTGCTGCTGAAAATATTTGTTTGGGGCATTTACATACATACCACACAGTTCTCATGTATTTATATATCAAACACCTAAATATTCATATTCACATATATATCACCCAAATTCTTACTAGCATAACATCATCACAATCTTTTTTAAAAGTGAAACACAGCTTTTTATATATAAATTTAATTAAATATTAAATTTTGAATGTTAGATATGTAATACATAAGAATTGTGTGGTATGTATGTGAATTTTTCTTATTTTTTAGAAGGTTGGTGCACAAAATTCACTGAAACATCAATTATTATAAGTTGTGTCAATTTTAAATTGTTTAATTCCCTAACAATAATAAAATATTATTATTATTCTATAAATTTCCAACCCCCACGAATCTATCTGATTGTGGTGGTAGGAGCCAAGCATCTTGTTGCCTCAACTTATCACCACAAGGCAATAAGACTGAATTAATAGACTGGTGCCCAAATTAGGAAAAAAAATAAAAGTAATTAAAATTAGAAGTTTGTTTTTTTTTTTTGGAAGAAAATAAATTAAAAAAATGATTAAAACAAAAATGTTTACGCATCAAAACAACCTACGAAGGAATGAAAACAGCTCTCATAAGTTAACTATTATGACTAAGGGTTTGTTTGGCGCAACTGCAGCTTCTTAGCTTTTCAGCTGCGGCTATGCCGTCCCAAGAAGACAATTTAAATATTATTTGACATTTCACTATATAAATATCATCATCTTTTGATTTTACCTCAAAACTTACAAGACAATAATCTTCCATCTAGTCTTAATATTATTTATTTCAATTAAAATTCTCCTTCATAACGTCAATCATATTGAGATGATAACTTTAATTGAAATAAATAGTAATAATAAGAGAATTACTTTAAATCTCAAATGACGAGCGCTAATTTCAATCAATCTCTAGATCCACTACTACCCCTAATTTGCCCTTCTATTCTTGTATTTTTTTCTTTCTTTATGGACTGTTATCATTGTTATTTTTTCATCATCTTACATGAATCTTGAGGTATTGCATAGATCTTGATGTAATATTTAAAGCATGAAACGGTCAAACCTTAATAAAAAGTTATCTAGAGCTCCGATTTCAACAAACTTGTAGTCAAAATGACTTGCTCGACAAGGTGGACCCAATGGTACTAAAATCAGTCCAATCTAAGCGAAATCAAGTTCAAATCAAGCAGTTAAACAACTTTTAGAAGCTTTTTGAGCATATTTAAAAGGTCAAATGAATTTCAAATCTTGCGAGCTTATAGTCGAATCGAGCACTCGACAAGCAGAATCCAAGAGCCCAAGATTGCTCAATTTCAACATTGTTTGATGAAAAGAAGCTTTCTAGACCGTCCGGACAAAGTGGTTCATATTCCTACATTGATTGCATCCGTAAATCTATAAATAGTCCTATTCCTCTCTTGGAAGGAGGAGAATGTTTGAGGCTTGAGGAGAGCTTGAAGTTTGAGTAAGAGCTTGAAGCATTAAGAATGACATGAAGTCCTACATCACTCCTACGACCGCCGACCACCATTTTCTACCACCTTTCTGCCGTCGTCAAACCCTATTGGTCGTCTTCTGCTCCTTGCAATAAGTTCATCCGCATGTCGATGTTATAACTTGGGAGATTTTGTAACTCTTTCACGTATGTGGGACAAGAGGTCTTTGCAATCATCAACTTATAGTATATTTTTATAACTAGACCGAACTATGTAAATTTTTTCCTTTTTGAGTTTTCTACGTAAAAACTTATGATGTCTCTACTAACTGTTTTCTTCTATCTCTATGTGTGTTGAATCTTCGTGCAACGTTAAGACGATAATTTATTACTCCACCGCCACAAATTTTCTAGCATGCATCAGTTATTATGTTCTAGATATTTTTTGAGACATTAAAAATTTTATATTATATATATATATATATATATATATATATATATATATATAAAAGACAAATTTTCACATGAAAATCCCCACATAAGGGAAAAAATTGCAAGGCCTTGCCCCAGATAAATAAGTCGAGATCATAAATATTTGCTCTTCCTCTTATTTAAAGAGGACAAGCTTATAAAATAATACACTCAATTCTAACTCTTTTTGTGATTATGATGGAATTAATGAGGGTAAAAATGGTAGTCCGACCATGTTGGTTGTACAACAATATTGACGATTGAATAATGGTAGTCGGATCTGGTGATGGAAATATCAATCGAAAGATAGCCATCAAATTAATAATGAGTCGGACAGTGATGGACATCAGTCATAATTTTATAATTCATCCAATCTCCAAACTATCTCCAAATTCTTGTGACAATTATTTATAATTTTCAAGAGAAATACTGCACCAAACCGCTCTTGTGATTCATTTGATTATATACTAAATTTTTAGCATTTAACTGTATTATTGACCTTAAAATCGAGTAAACTTGGGCTCATTAGCTATCGCCAAACTCGAGTGCAAGTCCCTTCATTTGATAAATGAGGGTTTATCTATAAAATCAAAAAGTGACATTTTAAAAAACCAAGCCAAAAACCAATAATTCTACTTCGAACTACACATGTGATTTTATTGACTAAATACAAAAAATTTTAACATTGAAACATATTATTGACCTTAAATAGAGTGAAACTTAGTTCATTAGATCCTCTCATCAAGACGCTCAATTTGATATAAGTAAAACAAAGTCCATATTTATCAAATTAATTTTCAATTAAATTGAAACTTAATTATTTTTGAGTGAATTTTAAATAAAAACAAAATCAATCTGGCTACCTATCTAGTGACGCAATAAACCAAATTTTGTGAAATTCATGGTTAGCTGGATATACCCAAAATCAAACTAATAATGTAATTTTAATATTGCGTGCCGTTCGCTTTAAGGAATTTGACGTCATTGGTTCAATAGAACCCATTTTAAGTGCAATGACAAAAACATCTAAACTTATAGAAATCTATAATTATCATCTGTCGTGTTGACCAATCTTTCTTCTACTTCACGAAGAAGCTTTTTGAAAAAGACTTTGTTATTTAAATGAAATATCAAAACTCTTAGCTTTAGCATAAGTTAATTTTTAATTGGGGAAACTTCATATGACACGTGTAAATACATCGACTCAGTGGTACAAAAAATGACCGGATTCGTTAATTTATAAATACCAATATTTTGGGTGATTTGTATGTAATTGTCCCTTTTTAATTACATGGATTAGCTAATTTTTAAGGGAAATTTTATTTTCTTTGTTTTTAACTGAGTTGCCAGTTATTTATCCTATTGTATAAAATAGTAGTTTTCTATTTTGTAAAAAATATTAATTTAGCCAATGACAACTTTCTTTAATGGCTGACAGAGGTCTACTGAGGCAATGAGGCAGGCAATGGACTAAACTCTACATAAGCTATGTAATTAGATTTAAACCCAATTAGATAAATTTTAAATACATTTAAAATAAAATAAAAGGGGAATTCCGATCCAACTCGGAGTACTGCTCATTTGTACAGGGAAACCTGGTCACGTGGAAAAGTAAGCAGTATGTAGTTGCTCGGAGGGGTGCAGAAGCCGAATTTCATTCCATATCCCTAGGAATTTGTGAAGTTCTCTGGTTATACATCATGTTTTACAAACTTCGTATAACAATCTCTATTATCCTACAGTTGTTCAGTGATAACAAGGTCGCGATTAGCATTGCTCGCAACCCGGTTCAGCATGATTGCACCAAGCATGTTAAGATTGATCGTCACTTCATTAAGGAAAAGCTCGAATATGGGGAAATTTGCATTCCACTTGTAATCTAGTGGCCAACTAGCGGATATTCTCACCAAAAACTTTTCTCAACCGCAATTTGATGATTTCAAATATAAGTTTAACATGACTGACATATATGTTTCAACTTGAGAGAGAGTATTAGAATATTAGTGTGCAGATTTCTTTATTAATTTCCTTAATTTGCTTTTATTTACTTTCTTTTTTTCTTTTTATTCTCTTTTTATTTCTTTCCTTACAAGTACATCTTGTAGTGGGTATTTATACCCCTCCTTACATCAACAAGATTTACCCTGAATTCTATTCTAACATTAACAATTATCTTCTATTAAAAATCTAAAATTTTAACGAACAAATAGCTCTTAAATTGTTGCTAATGTGCAACATCGATGGAGGATTTGTTAGATGCTCCTCTCTTCAATTAAATACCAAAATTCGAAACATACTTTAAAATTGCTTTTTAACTTAGATGTCATGCTCAACTTCTCAACCCAAAAGCAAAATAGTGACATAATGCAAAAAGGAAGACGATGAAAAGGCTTTCAATATTCTTGAAAAAAGAAATGCCATTACATACATCCATCAGACATCGAGTAGCAGATGCAATTGCTCAATCTCTTTGCTAAACAAATTATATCGAAAATATGCAACCTCGACATGGAGGAATGAGTTGCAGATATTATGAATTGGAAGAACAAACAATATAAATAACAAGAAGGAATTTTTATGTGGAAAAATGTAGAGTATGAGTTCCTACTGAAAAATGGCTCACTAAAGAGGAAGCAGTAGGATAAGCTAAATAAAAGGTAAAGCAATTATTATGATGGCAACTCATGTGACCAAAAAGGATTCTTACAGTCATCAAATGCCTGAATTGTCATAATAATCCAAAAAATATATTTGTTCCTTGTTTTTTGAGCCAGCAGGATCTGCAAATCACATAAAATGTTGCTTCGTTAAGTATGGCCCATGCATTTGGGGCATTTACAGACATATCATCCAATTGTTATGTATTTACATATCTAGCAACAAAACTTTACTTCTTACTTATATATGACCCAAATCTTTCATATCACATCAAAACAACGTCATTTTAATTTTTAAAAAGTGAAATATATTTTTTTATGCATAGATAAGGTAGAATATATGTAAAAATTGAAGTTTAAGTATTAGTAACGAAAATACTTAAAACTGAGCGGTATGCATGTAAATCTTCCTACTCTAAAAACAACAATACATCTAGTTTATTCTATAAGAAATTTTGCATTTGCCCGCTCAACTGTTGTGGACAACAACATTTTGTTGTTCTACTAGTTGTGCATAAAACAAAGAAAGAGGGATTGCGCAAAGTCATAGACGAGAGGTTATGCAAACTTTATATAGGTAATACAAAATTTCCATTGCAGCAGTTGTGCAAAAATTTAATAAGAATCATACAGAAAAATGAACGCATCAGCTAGTAGTAATTGCACTTTAACCATAAATTCAGTAGTAGATTTGGGATAAAATGTGATAAAAGCTCAAAGCATGGGGGAAAAGTTATGAATAGCAAATACTTGAGCATCCAGTGCCGGAATAATAAGTATAAAACACATACACTCAGTTGTCAGTGATAGGCTTATCAGGCTGACTGCAGGGATGCAAACCTTTGCATTATCTATCTCTATCATTTATTTGAGTTTTCTTAAGAAGTTCTATTCCTAAATTATTTCACAGTTAATTGGTTTAAAGGCAACCACAACCATTTTAACTGCCAAGCTAATATTATAGAAAATCTTAGGAATTTAAAACTTAAGTTTCTATAAAAATAACTTGAAACCTCTTTTGAGGCATAAATCAAAGACAGGATGCCACTTTTTGGTATCCACGGTAGACTTTACGACCCATATTTTGACGTCATTTTATGAAATGAAGTCGGGTTGGCTACCATCTTAAAAGATTTAGACTAATCTACTTACCCTTGCCAATAGGATAAGTTTGGCTTAAGAGTCCATTTGGAGAGGCTATAACTTTTCAAAAACAGCAAAAAAATAGTTCCCAACCATAAATATTTTTAGAAAACAGAAAAACAAAAAATTCCCCACACAGAGCTATCACGAAAATGTAAAATGTAACACATGCAGAAAGTTGTACCACGCTGACCCTTATAACTAATGGCTAATAAAACCCTAAATTCCACTTTAACCAAACATGGATGAATCAAAACTTAAGCTAAACACAAGGGCATCCAATTGGACTTAAGCTATTAGGCAAGTGGAAAGTGGGACTCATGGATGAGAGACATGTGTTAATTCAACTAACAGTGACTAAAGACTACACCCGAATTTTCTCCAAGAAATATCTTAATATCACAGACAAATCAATGAAGTTACTCAAGTGGTCTCCTGATTTTGACCCAAATCATGAAACTCCCACTATACGTGTATGGTTTAGTCTACCTGGTCTCAAGTTGCATTTTTTTCACCATCAGGTTCTCCACTCTATTGGGGTCATCCTTGGGGATCCTCTGAAGCTAGATCTGACTACTTTCAACCTAACCAGACATTTGGTTGCCAGAATACTTGTGGAAAGGGATATTACTTTACCTGATGTTACTGAAGTCTGGCTGGGCACAGCCCATAATGGATATTGGCAACAAATCGTCATGGAACACAGACCCCCATACTGTACCCACTGTAAGATGTTTGGGCATATCCTTGATAAATGCCACAAGTTTCATCCTAATTTGAAAGCTAAGGTTCAAGTGAATAAGGATGGGTCTAACCCTACTGCTCTGGACATTTTAGTTCCACCTGAGGAGGATATTGTTGCCCCTGTGCCCCCCATGACACTATTGTTATTGTTACTGCGAGTGGTGTGATGCTGACACCTTTAAAACCCATAGAAAACAATACTGATGGACTATTACCTACAAAGGACAGTGTTCAGAACGACAGTCAGGAGAACCTCGCAGCTCCCCCTCTTCAGGAAGTATCCGGTGTGGAGGATACACATACTTCATAGATATTAGAACCTATTGTGGGTACTAAGATTGGTAATCCTTCTGCTTCAGCTCTACCACCTCATCAAACTGATTCTTCGGATGAGAAATGGCAGGTTTACACTTCCAAGAGGAAGAAGAAGAATGGAGATCTACTTGAACTCAAAAGTCTTATGGATGATACTTTGGTTACGTTAGGTAATGGTACACATCTTACCAAGCTGCTAGTTGAATCTCTTTCGAGAACTAGAGTCAAAGGCAAAACAAGATTACGATGACCTCCTTTTTTTCAGCGCCCGGGTGTTTTGGGCTTCTTTATTTTTATATGTAAAATTTTTTTAACTTTTTTGGGTGTGCAGTATCGTCTAGGTTGGGTGTCTATTTTTAGGTCCACCCATACAACCTATCTGTATCTTTTCTCTTTAATATATTAGGTCTTGGGCTTATTAATATATATATATATATAACATACAATAATAGAAATTTAACACTTAAATAATATAAAATTAATATTTCATTAAAATAATAAATTAATTAAATTTTATGCCCATGTTTATTGTAAGCTTAAAAGGGTAGGCATTAAGAAAAAATTAATAACAAATTAATCGATATCGAGTTGAGTACTCGTATTCTTAATCTATAGTAATATTTTACTTTTTCTCAACCAATTCGCAATTAATGATACTTGCACAAACTTTATTTTGACTGAGATATTTTTTTACTTTATTGCCCGCATTGTTATGAATTTTTGTAGCTACTTATTATAATGCACATATGTGTGCTATATATATAATATATTGAATTGAATGATATGTTTATGTTGACTACTTGTATGTTCATGACTGACTATGATAGAATCACCACTTTATGACACTAGTAGGAGAACACTAAGATACTCTCGTGGAAAAAAATATTGATATTAAAGTTCCTTAAGTGATATAATTTTTAGACGGTGCTACTGTGACAGTTGAACAGATATATAATGATATAAATATGTTATTGAAATTGTAATATTCCTTCAATAGCATTTCAAATGTTTATATTGATTTATTAAAAGCTTAAATGATATGCATATCACTTTTTTTTTCCCTTGTATTACTGTAGTTTAGAAATATGAGTATTCACTGATTTATTTAACTCAGGTATTTTAAACTAACTTTTCGAGTTTAATTAGTTGATTAAAAGATAGGCGATAGAAGAAAAATATTTATAAAAAACGCAGACAACCAGTAGTAAGGTAAATTTAATTATATTAATTTACTTTATTTTAGTGACTCTTTTATTTATTAAATAGATAAATATAAAAAATTTAATTCTCATCGTCTAATCGTCTGTTCATGCCTTGGTTAATTTCAAGCCTCGGACTGAGTAGTAACAAGATTAAGCTATAAGTGTCATCTTTCTTCCCATCTCTTCTATCAAGTTATAAGGATTTTTTAGCATTTTTATCTCACAAAATCAAGTGATATAATTTTTAGACGGTGCTACTGTGACAGTTGTACAGATATATAATGATATAAATATGTTATTGAAATTGTAATATTCCTTCAATAGCATTTCAAATGTTTATATTGATTTATTAAAAGCTTAAATGATATGCATATCACTTTTTTTTTCCCTTGTATTACTGTAGTTTAGAAATATGAGTATTCACTGATTTATTTAACTCAGGTATTTTAAACTAACTTTTCGAGTTTAATTAGTTGATTAAAAGATAGGCGATAGAAGAAAAATATTTATAAAAAATGCAGACAACCAGTAGTAAGGTAAATTTAATTATATTAATTTACTTTATTTTAGTGACTCTTTTATTTATTAAATAGATAAATATAAAAAATTTAATTCTCATCGTCTAATCGTCTGTTCATGCCTTGGTTAATTTCAAGCCTCGGACTGAGTAGTAACAAGATTAAGCTATAAGTGTCATCTTTCTTCCCATCTCTTCTATCAAGTTATAAGGATTTTTTAGCATTTTTATCTCACAAAATCAAGTTATAAGTCCAACCTTTCATATCTTACACATCCCTCCATGTCACTTCTACCATATTGAGAAAACTATCCTGGGCTTGCTTAATCCCACATAATCAAGTTGTAAGTTCACTTCTTTCATATCTTATTTATCACATTAAAGAGACTTCTAAGCATTCTTGATATCACAAGATCAAGCTCTCTAAGTGTTATACTTTAAAATATCTTCACTTCTCCACCATATGGAAAGGATATAAGGGCCTATCGATCATATGTGATCAACCTATAAATCCTACCATTAATATTTTCCAATTCCACCAAATATTTTGTATATTCTTTACCATTATGAAGAAATATTTTGAGCTTCTTGATACTATATGATCAAACTATAAGTCCAATTTTAGGTATCTTCACTGTCACATGGAGAAAACCAATCTTTTTGTTCTTTGAATCTTAGAGCCTAGGTAATCTCATCAGCCTTTGCATGTGCAATCACAGGGTACTACAACACTTGTCTAAGCTTCTCCCTTGTATGAAAGAATATTGTAGGTCCCGTTTGTACACCTAAGATAAATCCACACCCTTGATTTCCAATGTACGCTTAGATAAGATAACCGATGATCGTTAACAACATGACTAAATAAGCTAAAGATATTGATGACCCAGAAAGATGAAACCATGGGAACTTGATTGAAGCGATCCTATATTCTGAAATGTTAGTCACCCTTTCCCTAAATGCAATAATCTTCTTTTACCTGGGCAAGTGTCTCTATACAGTATTGTGAAACCAATCTTGGGCAACTGTGGCATAGAGGCCGGTCTAGGGAGTCTTGTCCAGACATCTAGAGGGGGTGGTTGTGAGCGTCATCAAGCAACCCGGAACGGCCTTCCGTTTTGGGTCTCTCGCCCAAATCGAGTGGGATTTGGGAAAGTCGGCATTGTCGCCTAGCCTTTTCTCCTCCTCCCTTTCTCGTCGCCTTTCCTTTCTTGTTTCCCACCTACCTCGGTTTATTTATATGCTTGTTTCTGAGTCTAGGGTTAGTTTTTGTAGTGTGTTTATTTCAGATTTCTTGTGTGGAATCTTTTTCTCCTTTGGTGGTTGTATCCGAGGAGATGGTGATGCTCCGACTGTATCCTACTCCGAGGTGGTGATGTATCTCACTTTTTCGTCTTCCCTAACCCTTCTCCTCCACTCCCCATAGTTGTCAGCCTTGCTGTCCAACCTCCCCGGCCCCCATATACACTCCACCGATCCTTCGACAGCAGTTTCCCCTTGTTGTTCCACCATTCCAGCCCCATCCTAGCACCTATATTGTGTTTCCTTACAGCCTCTTTGGATGCCCAGCCATTCAGGCCCTCCTCTGTCCTTCTCAGCACTCCCAATTGACTACTCACCCCCACTCCAGCTGCCCTTGTTGTCCAACACCTTCCAGCCACCAATCCGCTTTCCGCCGGTCACCTACAACCCTCCATACTTGTTGTCCCTGCAATTCTACACCTCCCTCTCACTGCCATCGACATTCTTTAGTTGCCACCACCACTACCAATCATGCCAATCCACCTAGCCAACCTCCACCGCCCTTGGAATAACCTAAGAGGTGTAACTTGTATCGTGTATGTTGGCGTTATTTTCTGTTGTGTTGTGTTTTAAACCTATTTCCCTATTAATAAAAGTGTGTTTTGTGTTTATTGTTTCCCCAACTAGTTCTGGTATCATTTGTTCTTCTTTTTTTGTCATCTCACATGCCGACAGCCATCTATCAATCACAACACTGCCTAAATAATCCATATTGTTTGTTTCCATTATATAAATTCTGTTTTGAATGTTCACAAGAAATCAATATACTTGATAATATTTAGTTCAAAGAAAATGAATACAATCCACAAGATTTATAATAAATTATAAAAATACTATATTGCAAACACTTTCACAGTTTCTGGCACAAAATATTCAATCAATCCCATCAAATATCAATTCTTAAATTTCATTTGAATTTAAAATATAAATTACAATTCTACACCAAAAGTCAAATTTTAATTTTAATTAATTTTTTTGAATTTGAGTTGAATTAAAAACCAACATATCACTTCTTTAGTTTCCTATAATTACTTAGTTACCCTCAAACTCCTTAATTTTCTCACTAAAATTTCAAAAGTCAAGCCTACCCTCCTCTGGATCTAACTTTGTCCTTGACAACACACTCAACCTATTCTAATCACCCAAAGTTGGCTCTATTTACAGTTAAAACCTACACTTCATTATTTTCGTCCCATTCAAAATTAAATCTACATGTGTTCTCAAATCAAAATTCGATCCACTCAAATCAATCCAATCACAACGAAATAAACAAGTGAAAATTAAAGAAAACAATCCCTTCATTAAACACTACAGAACAAGAGCATCAATTCAAATAACCCTATTATTTAGCATGAACACTGCTAGACTTTGACAACCCTAACCCAATAAGATATATGAAAATATGGAGTAGTTATTTTGCATTGAATCTCAAATGGGATGGATTTTCTACTTGTTTCTTTTTCCTCAAAATGAACTTCTCAATCATTTATTCTTCCAGATGAATTTCCCAAGGAGCAGATCTGAATACCTCTGCAGCACAAAAGTTTTCTACTTCTACCTTAGTAACACACCAACTCATAGGGGTAAAGTTCTTTTTCTGCTTAAGATGAATTAATGGTGCAAAGGATCAAACATTTGGTTTGGTCATTTGACCAAGTCTATGCCAATTATGTGTAATGTTTTATGTTACTTCGCCTTCCAATTTTTCACTTTGGAGTAGTTGGGACCTGGGCATTTCTCTTATCTCTTTAGTGCGATTTTGTTATTTGGAAAAAATCTTATTATTAGTAGTAGTGCAAGTTGTCATGCGATTAAGATGAAGACTAATTAAACACTTTCAGTAATTGTTGTAGGAGAATTCAGCACTTTATGAATGCTTAAAGATTCAAATCTCCTTCGTGCTTTCAGGAGGAGGAATTGACAAACAGATCTTCTAAGCATCAACATAAACAGTTCAAGAATTTGCTAAATTTGCCATTTCTCTTCCCTTCTATGGCTTTTGCCTCATAAATCCCTAAAGACTACTCTGCATGACATGAGTGGAAGTGGTACAAAAAGAAATGTGCAAAAAGTTTAACACCTTGAAGTACCAACCAATACGAACAAATAGAAAATGAGGACTCTTAACGCGGTAAGGATAGAGTAAGTTATTAAATCCACAACTCCATGGAAGAGATCATGGGAGGGGGAAGGGTGGAATTAGGGCTGTAAATGAATCAATGCACTTGCTCAAACTCGGCTCGATTAAGACTCAATCATGTTCGCGCAAATTAATAAATAAATAAATTTGAACAATTTTTAAAAGCTCCGAGCTTAAATGAACCAAACATGAACATATTTGAACTTGTTCATTTATGTCATGAACAACCTCTTTTATTGTTCAACAAATAACTCCTTAAATATTTGATATTAAGCTTGATGATAACTCGCATCATATGTGATATATTTTTTAAATAAAATTTAATTAATTAGAATTTAGTTAATTATAGATCTAATAATAATATAGTATTATATCAATAAATTTTTTTAAGTAATTATTAATAATATATTTATTTTATTAAAATTTAGGTGCTATATATGAAAATACATAAGACTTATGTGGTATGTATGAAATGCCCCTTAAAATGAACTTTAAAGGCCCCACAAACTTCAATTTTCATCTAGCCACTAACAGTTTAGCATCTCCAGATTTTACCTGAAACATACGAAACTCTGAGTTAGGAGTGCAAGCATTGAAGACAATGACAAGATCGCGGCATGCAAAAATCTTCGAAACTCTAATCTCTCATATATCTTTCTTTTCCATTCTTTTCAAAAGTTTGACCTGATTAAAAAGTGGTATTGAGAAAGTGCAGTGTAGTAATTGTAAGTTATATATGATTAAAAATAATGATGGTACAACAGTTCAATATAAAATTCATTTACAAAATTGTCTAAAAAAGCTAAGAAAATGACACAATGGGAAAATCAACACCTACATTTGAATATGGGAGTTGAGTGCAAACTTGGAAGTATGATAATGCCAAAATATGATAGATTACATCCCATATGATCATGGTTCATGAGTTTCATTTTATTTCTATAGAGTTCATAATTGACAAATTAAAAGGTTAGATATGATTTGTTAAATTATTTATTGAATTTTTTATATGAAAATATAGATATTTATTTGAATTTTAGCTCGTTTAAATACTCGTTCATTTGTAATTAACAAATCAAGTACAAATCAACTTCAAACATTGAAAAATTTAAACAAGTCAAGTTTGAACAATATATGAAAGTTCGACACAAGTTCAAGCTGAACACGAACAACTTATAATTATACCAATTCCAAATCATGATATAATTGGCTTAACTCGGCTTACAACCCTAGGTGGGATTAGGGGTGCGGTTAAGGGGTGGGGTAGGAAGGTAGGGAAAATGAGCACGAGCACCAACCTGAATCTAACCGTGTTCTAGAGGTTCCATTATAGATTCTCTATTATAAAGTGGTGAACCTACCGTGAATATTAGCAGCTAAATCACAATATGCTATGGATACTGAAAGAATTCTACAAGAGTGTATGATCATAACAAGTTAGGCCTTTGTATTCTAAAAAAAATGAAAACTTATCATACAGATATGACAAATTAACAGGACACTAAAAAGTAAAAACTGAAACTAAGAAGAAAATTATGGTAGAACATATAGAAAAATAAAATAAAAAAGATTATGGGAGCCTCACGTATTGCAGTGCATTGATAATAAGCAAGAAAAGCTTTTTAAAAAAAGTATAAAAGGATGCTTTAACGGCTAAGTAAACCACCTCTGTTAGAAACTACTGTGCCCATGGTTGTGAAAGCGAGACCTTGAAGTTCGATGCATGTAAGCCTTGGTGTTCATATATAGCAGATTTGAGAATATTGTACTGCTCTGTAACTTCATGGTACACTGCCAATGAAAAGGCTCCCTTTGCCTGTCCAAAAAAAAAGTAGAAATAATAACTCTTATGCAGTGGCAAAATTTAATAGGACTTCAATTAATTTTTATTCGAAAAAAGCAGACATGCTCGACTTTAGAAGGAAATGAACAAAAAAAATAGACCATCCTAATTCATGTGTGTGTTTGTACATAGAAGAGAGAGAGAGAAACAGGACAGTGTGGGCTAATCAATGACAAATAGCAGCACTATGTTAAAACTTAAAGAGGAATCAAAGTTCATGGACTTGATAACATGGCAACAGGGCAAATAGACAAGATGGCATGCTACAATTATAAAAAGTAGGACAAGAAACCATTGCCACATTGTTCTATTTTTTAAATTATTAATATAAAATATATAGATGAAACTTTAATACTAGCATTTTCTAGTAAAAATGTCACATGAAACATAGATAAGAAACTTAAATAACAAAAGAAATGATTTATCATGAGCAACGACTGGCATCATCAGCACACCAATATTATCATGCATAAGTCCTCATTAATTATCATATATTTTGCCAATATCAAAATTGCCTATAAATGTTAAAAATCATAAAGAACAAAACCAATAAACAAACAAAATATGACCATATGAGCTTATTGATGAAACAATATTAATTGGAGTTAACACACTCAATGTTAAGGTTATCATCAACACTAGGCACTTCTGCTCTCGTCAATGACACGCTCATTTTTCTCTTCAAGAAGCCAGTCTCTAAAGCTTGATCATCGAGAAGAAGATAAAAAAATTTCAAGCATTTTAATTTCACTCATTGTGGTTAATGTATCCACATTAAAATCTGCTAATTTAGTCTCTCTTAGAGTACTTTTTGGACTTCTATAACTAAAAGGAAAAATTCAGTGTAGATTTGGTATTTATTCATATTAATTAAATACATAGATTTAATATTGGATTAAGAGAGTAGGCTAACTAATGAAAGAAAGTAGTGCATTTATTCCATCTTAGCATAATATCATAAACTACCTTATAAACATTAGACTCATTATTTCTATTTTTATTAAGTTCATTGGACCGTTTTAATCAAAGAATCTCACATGTCATATACAACTTGAGTACAAGTCTTGTTTGTATTAACTAACTCTTTAACATCTCATTAGCTAAAAAAATATATATAAATAAAATTAAAACTATTTTTATCCCACAAAAATCATCCAAATATCTTCTCCTTCACAAACTTGGCCTAACTCACATATTTTTAGTACATGCTCCACTTACCACTAATTATCCTAATTTTCAATTCATATTTTATAATTTTGAATAGTCTAAGCATAATATTTGTAAATACAAAATGAATCTGTGATATAGTTTACAATTTTAGTTTCACAAATCCATTGAAAATTCAAATTCTCATAGAAGGATTCACAATGAAACTCTTTATTAAATTTTCAATCGCTGCAATATTCACATTCAAAATCACAAGTAATCTGACTACCTTCTATATAGGGCAGTTCGTGTTCAGCTCGTTAAGAAGCTTGTGTTCGACCCATTAAGAAACTCGTGTTCGATTCATTCGCTAAATTAATGAGCCGAACACGAACAATTTTTTTGCTACTCGATATATAAGCGAGTCACACTTGTGTTCGACCCATTAAGAAACTCGTGTTCAATTCATTCGCTAAATTAATGAGCCGAACACGAAAAATTTTTTTGCTACTCGATATATAAGCGAGTCACACGAACAAAGATTTGTTTGTTCGTGTTCGGCTCGTTTAGACTCGGAATTATTAAATTATATATATAAATATAGCTGACACGCCTACAGTAAATCTGACTTGGCCTTCAGAAGCCAGAATTTTGATAGAAAGGGATATTACTTTACCTTTTTCGGGAGAAATATGGATTGGCACACAACATTAGGGATTTTGGCAGCAAACAGAACTTGAACAGACACCACTTTATTGTACACACTGTTGTATGTTTGGACATTCTCCTTCCCAATGTTATCAGTTGCAACCACATTTAAAACCTTCAAGTAAAAATACTTCTGGATCTGCCCCACCTCATATCTGTCCCTCCTCCGCTCCTGAGTGCATTCCACAGACTATTGAAATACCGGTTGACACGATGCCATCTCCGCCTCCCACTACCGGAGACAATACTGTCTCTGTTTTTCCGACTGATATATTGGCAGATGGTTTACTTGGGTCTGATAATCAGGATAGTATTGAAGCTCCATATCCCCAGGATGCATCAGGTATTTAAGAGACATGCTTACCACCTCTTCAAAATCAAAATGTTGTTACTGCTAGTCAGGAGCTGGGGGCTCATTGTCTCCTACATGCCCAACAATCTGTTGACCACACCGATCAGATGAGCCAGTCCTCGGATGAGGAATGGTAGGTATACACATCTAGAAAGAAAAAGAAGAATGGAGTCACACCCTAGCTTGGGAACTTAATGGATGATACTCTAGTAACTTCGGATAATAGAACGATACTCAGCAATTTGTTAGTTGTCTCTGCTCCTAGAACCAGAGGCAGAGGCAAGACTAAGCTGGCTCGTGCCTAGCAGCTTATTTCCTGCAAGTTTTGTTTTTTTTTTTCATCCTTTTAGGATGCTAGTGTCTGATGTATCGTATGGGTAGGACACCTTTTTTTGGGTCCTCTCATACAACCTCTATGTATCTTTTCAATTTCAATAAAATTAGTCCTTGGGCGTTTAATATATATATATATATATATATATATGTAATTGATGAGTAGTATTTTTAAAAAAACTAACTAACTACAAGCCTACAAAAATTTATAATCAATTAAAATTCTTAATTAGAAAATAGAATAAAAATATATATAATAATATTTAAATGATGTTTTGATATAAATAATAAGATTTAAATCTCGTCCCAAAACATCCTACGACTGCGTGACTAGGGTTGTCAAAACGACTTTGTTCACGAACAGTTTGTGTTCAACTAGCTAAGCAAACGAGTCTAACACGAACATTTTTTTTTGTTTGAAATATAAACGAGTCGAACACAAACAGTGGTAAACACCAGCGACTTGCTCGTGTTCGGCTTGTTTACACCCCTAATCAATATCCTTTGGAGCATAAATATTTTTTAATGTAAGATTCAATGAGGGAAAAACAAAAAACCAAAAAATATGATGGCATCATGTTTCCATTAGAGGGAAATATTCAATGAAAGCTGGCCTAACAAAAAAAACACTAAAATAATATAGATTACTCATTAAATAAATTGGAAAGGCCATTGAATAGAACATGCATACAATTTTTTCATGCAATTGATCTCTAGACTTCATAATAAATGCTCCTTTAATAAAAATATTCTCTGATACTTTAGGATTATAACCCTTCACCATAGAGGAACTTTCACTTTATTGTACAATAAAATGTTGATTTACTTGATTCAAACATTTGACCAAAAGAAAAAATGAGAACCTTCTTACATAAGACATTCTTCTTTCCTCATTCTTTGCAACTGGTTTTCTTTAAAGTTTCAAGTTGTGTGAATGTTATTTTTGAGCATGATCAAAAACATCCCATAAATTGCTAAATAAGTGAGATGTCACTAGGAAATATTCCTTTCTACCATCTTTGACAAAACTAACATTTAAATTCTATATGTTCTCATATTCTTATCGTCCATACATTATCTGATTTGATAACATGTTGACACAAAAACTTACCATCATCCACTATAGGATTTATTACAAACTCCATCAGTGATTATTTCAGAAGTCATTCTCTAACTATTTAATAAATAGAAAAATCAATGATCAATATCTCACTGAAAAATAAAGTCTTACATCTTAAAAATAAAAAATATATATATTTTCTTGAAAATTTTTAAAATATCATAATACAACTATAAAACCCATGTTATAATAATAATAATAATGATGATGTGAACTGACTAGCACCAGTTAAACTAAATGGACATTAGTAGATTTTGCCCTATCATACTGTCAGGGGAGTAGAACCCAAACAAAAAGCTAGGGCTATGAAGCGATAGGGAGAGCGAGAAACAAAGGTGAGAAGAAGAGCACATGAGATAGGAGGCCAAACAAATCAATGGACCAGGATCAAATGAGAGTTTCGCACAACCAAAGTTGAATCTGAGCAACACATACATGACCGTCAATGGACTTAACCACAGACTAAAACATGCACAAGAACGATGTCAATTTTTTTTTCCATCTTGAATGATAACAAAAGCTATGGTTTTATTCCTCTACATTCAACAAACTTAAGAGGAAAGTTTCTACAAAACCTTTTATGCATAAATCTTAACCATAGACCAAATTTTAATTGTGAAAGAATGTTTTCAGGCTTTGGCAAAGACAAGAAGAGCAAATCAAAAGAAGGATATTTTCATTGATTTGCAAAGGAAGAAAAAAGAGGGATCATGCCGTTAGTGATAAATTAGATTTCATGAACTCAATTCAAATAATGAACTATGATTTTTTTTCTTAGATTATAAATGCTAAAATTGGATAAAATACATAAGCAATTGTCTAGAAATAATATCTTAAACTTCATGTCAGGTGAAATTGACAAGTTTAATAGTCTAAAATGTAAAGATATATTAAATGAATTACATTTTTTGAGTAGGGTTATGTATTTGAATAAAGTAAAGATTAGTAAAATGATAAGAAAAATATTATTAAAAGATGGGATCAAATTCTAGGAAAAAGAAATATGCATATTTAAATGATTACCATAAAAACTTATGATTATACGTACAAAACTACAAGAGAGAGACATAAAAATTTAGAGAAAATCAAATTTTTGAGGTTGATGTCGGTAATTATCTTTCTAGTTGTACAAAAATTTATATTTCTTATTTAAAGTTTAATACAGTGAGGGACATCTTCTGCTATATGCACACTAAATATTATCATAGTATTATTTAAAGCATATTTTACTTTCCTTACAAAAGAGACTTCATGTTGTAATATATGTTTAATAAAACATATTCTATTTCAAGCTCCTGTATTCTAAAACTTCAATCATGCATACAAGATAATATAATTGTACGAAATGACAAAAAAAAAATGTACATGTTGATATGAGTCCCTCTATATGGTACTAACCACTCATAAAATGAAAAGGTTTGCAAAATATAATAAAAATGGATGTAACTCAAATGATATGAATATAAAATGGTGCTTTCGTAACAAGTTTATTTTATTAAAATATTATAATAAAATAAATTTATTTATAGATATCAAATATTAAATAATAATTTTCTCTTTCATTTCATGAACAATTGATAATTATGCATATTCAGAATTCTATTAAAATGAGATGTTAACGTTGATTTATGATGACCTACATGCATATTGTTTATATTCTTAAAATTTTCATAACAAAAAAACAATAGCACATCACCGAGTTGTTGTACGACACAACTAATTTATTTAATATTCATTTCAAAAAATGCTCTTTTAAGCTAAATGGGCAAAAAGAGAACTCGTATATAAAAGAAGATGAACAAAAAAAAAATGTATTAAAGAATATATATCTTGTTTAATTTATTTATTGAATTATTTGAAATAGAGATCATTTATATATGATTTGAACATGAGCAAAATTTTGTTGTTTAGGTCTGTTTAGGTCAGTTACTGTTGTTTCAAGAAACAATTGTAAAGTTGCTGCAGAAAAAGCTAACGTTCAAAGAGTTGCAGCTGTTATTACAATTTTTTTTTTTTAATTCAAAAAATTAGACTACAGCTTTCTAGCAGCCACCGCACTTTGATCTTGTTTAACGAAGCTTCACCTTTGAAAAAAATTCTTTAAAAAGCCGCAACTGGAAAAGCTATTATATAAAATTATGGTGGGTAGAATACAATGACTGTTTGAATACAAAAAATTTATGTGCCTTTTTTAACTTTATTAACGAAAATTGTTGGTTCTACAGAACTATAAATTTCATTTCTCCTCTGTTTAACTCAATAGTGTTATTGAAGTTTGAGGAATGCAGCACTTGGATGGATGATTACAATGTGCTGGCAGTAGGAATTCGTGTAGAGCAAAAGGTATTGTGGTTGGTGAGCAAGGAAAAGATGAAAGCTTGTTTGGGGAGATTATAGTAGAGGTAAACAGGTTGGCCTGTTGGAGAATAGCACAGATGGGAGAGCAAGTTGGGAAGCCCAAGGAGTTGTTGGTTCAACCGGAGAAAGGAAGCTGCCAAGCTGGGCTTGGAAGAATGGGTCTTCGGCCTTTTTTCGGAGAGGGGAAGGTGGTTTTGTGTGGGTTGCTGCCGATGAGAGGTGAGGGTTGAGCAGGTTTCGGGATATTGATTGTTGAACGCCAATGAACAATGAAGATATGCGTGAGGAGGGCAAAGAACTGGCGAATGCTACTCTTCGGCAGGACAAATCTCCGGCGGTGAGCTCAATAGTGGGAAGAAATGCAGTGGTGAGAACTCACATGAGTAGGTTTGGATAGAAGAGATGGTTGAGTCGCGAGGCTTGTAGTGAAGGAGGTGGTTGTTATCTCGGTCCAAATGACCACAGAGATCTGAATGCCATCCGAACGGCGGAACGAAGAGATCGAAATGCCATCCAAACAGCGAAAAGGAAGGGCGGAGTAGCGATCTCCAAACGACAGAAAAGAACATTGTGGTAAACACGCTTACAACGAAGTTCATCCGTCAATCGATAGATCGACGTTCTCGCAAGTTTATCTGCGACGAAACGGAGATCTGACACGTGCTCAAACGAGCCCTTAGCCAAATTAGGTTGTAAAACGCAGTTTTCCACCACAACTTCTTGAGAAAGCAGGCAAAAAAGTATTACATGGACATTTGGATTGTTTCAATAGAAAATAATGAATCTATAGTTTGACATTATTCAAACCTTGGTATTCCAAGTTCTCTGGCCAGATCACAACAAAAATAAAATGGTACAATCATTTCGATTTTGATAAAATAAAAATACTTGATCAAAAATTAGATGAGAAGATTTAGATGTTAGGGCTGCACGTAGAAACATGAAGAGTCCAGGGTTGCAACGACTGTGATACTTCTAGGCCTATAAAGTTGATGCAAAGATACGGTCGAGAAGGTAGGTCAAACAAAGTCCTTGCAAAGAACATCAACAAAGACGAGCCTACAACACTAAAAAGATCGATGAAAATGTCTCATGCCAAGGCAAAAATGATTGACAAAAATAGCCTTATTTGATACAAAGTGGATTGCTGAAGATAGCTGGCACTATCATGAAGAGGATTGGCAAAGACAACTTGAGCTATTAAGAAGAGAATTGCATTAAGGCTCCAAGAGATCCGTGTGAAGATGTTGCAAAGGCTACAAAGAGAGAGAAGTTTGGAATGGAGGAATGGGAGCACAAAATGGGATTTAAATTTAAATGCCTGAAACATGACGCTTGTGCCTATTTATGTTCCCTCTATTTTGGGGCCTAGCTCGTCTCAAACCCTGATTTCTCCAGCACATTTGACAAGTTCAGGCATGTCGGAGATCTTTTCATATTTAACACAAACAAGAAAGCCATTTTAGAATGTTTGTCTCACAGTATAGGGTCCAACCGGATGAGAAAAAAAATTGAATTTTTTAATTTGCTCATGCTGTAGAACAGTAGGATACACAACGGCATATCAAGAACTTATAAGAAGTACTGCACATTTTTCTATTTAAAAATTGCATTCAGTATACCCTTCAACGCATGTGCTCTAATTAGTGATTAGACCAACGAGGGGTATTTCAAAAAAGATCTTCACGTAAATCAACAGCTTCCAAACAGCACTATGTTAAAGAATGAAATAAAACCTAAGACAACAGAATTTGAAGTTCAATTGGTATTGATAGTAAATTTTAAGAAAAGTAAACAGTCAAATTACCAGCAAGTGAGAATTATAATAAGTTAAACATTTGCTATAACTATAAATTTGACCTCTTCCTTGTTTTCACAATGAGCACTAACTTCATTGAAATTTATTTCCATGGCCACAGATACGCCAACACCATGATGTGACAGTTTTCTTTGCTCACCAATCTCCTTTTGCACCTATGAATGAAAAAAGATTGAAAACAAGAGTAATTCAGGTAAGTAAACTATGATTTTTAATCTCAAGAACATAAACTTGGCCTCAAATTCCCAAGCAAGAGCTCACCTGTGCTGGTGGAGGCATGACATCATAACATAGCAGTGCAAGGGGATAAAAGTGTCCAGGAACGCCAGAATGCTCGGACAATCTTCTCATATTGTCCAATGAAGATGCATCAAATGGAGCCTGATCAACCAAACCAATGAAAGAACAGATAAACATACGCAATGAATTGCCTTTTAGAGTTTATAAAGCAAAATTAAAAGGGGTATTTACATAGATAGCACGCAATTCTAATGTATTTACATATCTCACCTAAACTTCCTTATTAACACACATATCACTCAAATTTTTAATATCACATAAAAAATAGCACTATTACCACTCTTTAAAAGCTTTAAAAGTGAAATACACCTTTTTCATGCATAGGTTTAAAGCACCAAAGTGCTATATATGTAAATATTTAGCACTTTGTGTTATATATTTACATAAGGCAAAATACATAAGAATTGTCCAAAGTATGTAACTTTTCGAGATTAAAAATTATTTGAGTACAAATCGCCTGAACAGCATCCAAAAAAACCGATGTGGAAGGTGAGGAGAAGAAGGAAAGTGGAAACCTCACCAACCCAACCACCCACCCTCCACTTGGCTAAATCATAATCCTTTCAGAAGTTAATTTCAGGGAGGTGTAGCAGGTTTCTGCAGTAATTTAAATTGTTGAAAACAGTAATCTGAATCTCACAGCAAGTAGGAAAGGAGTAGCGCGAAAAAACTAATAAGGGATCACAAAGAGTGCGGCGATTAAGTACCAATTATTCGAAGTATAAAGCAAGAAGAAAGTTAACACATTACAATGTTTCCTATAAACATGAGTGCTGTTACAGCATTATCTTTTCTTTTTCTTTAGTATTCTTCTATCATTCAAAAACTTTTTTTTTTCATTTTATTTTTCAATATTGAATAATATGAAACTCCCAGCCACAGCTATAACAAAAGCATTAGTTGAGATACATGCAAATCAGCAACGAAATGCCTCATAGCAGCTGACAACAAACAGTAAATATTATGTATCATTATTACCAATAGAAAAAAAAAACACTTTTTCAGCCTCTACTGGGTATGAGAGGCTACAAACTAGCTTTTTTTAGGCAGATTGAACTTGTGTTGAACCAAATTTATCCTGCTCATATATTAAGGTTTATTAAGCTCTAGAGAAGATGCTTTCTAATATGAGCGAAAGCCCATATATTTAAGTATCTCTCATAATCACGCAAGAGCACTCATAATCAAGGAGATTGCTTAGGCTTATAGTCAGTATCTATGTTTGAATTTGACTGAATGAGAAATAATTAGGAGAATGGAGGTAAATCAGATTAAGACCCATCCAAAGCCTATCAGTAGATCTAGTCTGATGTTAAAGTGCTTATAACCATAATACCCAGTATCCATTGAATGCCTCTACCTCAATATCCATAGCAAATTTAATGGAGGCATCAGATTAATGTCAAAATAGTTGACCGACAAAGGGCTTTCCATACCAAATTGATTGAAGAATTAAGAGTCAAGCAACATGGCAACTTGTGGCTCAAAAATTTTATGCATGACCGAAAAGATATCAAGGCGTGGAACAGCTATTAGTTAGCCACGAGTTTTAGTTTCTGACACAAAGAAGTATGACCAAGACAAATGGAGGTTTGGTTGGGTCAAGTCTTAAAGGTTATGGGGCAATGAAAATGACAATAAATCTTAGGTGAGAACATTGGTCCTATATTTCAAAGGCCAGACCATTCAAGGTGGAACACTGGTTTGCTTTACAGTCAAAGGACTGACCCTAACATAAGCTGGTCAACTTAAATGTATAAAAGTTGGTCAATCATGGTTTGGAAGTACAGGACATGACCAACAACAGCTTAGAAGCATGGCATGATTGGTACAAATTTCTGAGGGCAAACGTGGATTAGAGGTACAGGACATGGCGAAGCAATCTTTTGTTTTATACATGCCTGTTGAAAGATGGTCTCCTCATTTGCTGTCTAAAGTGATCTGCTTATCCATGAGTTATTTTACCATTCTGCAATCTTTTAAAAGACATATATAAACAAAAAATTGCTTGGTCATGGGAACCGCATTTTTATCCTTCTTTTTTCTCATCACCATACTCTAATTGATTTCATAAATAATGAAATAACGATGAGTAATTAGGTTGGATCCAAAAAAGAAACTAGATGCATCTTATATTTAAAATGGCACGAGGAAAAATTCAATAACAAATAAACTAGATGACAAAAAAAAACACCAATCATGCATCATAGTTTCTGGATTTATGAATAGGGCTATGAAAAAAGTTCGTCGTTCGCGAACAGCTCTTGTTCAGCTTACTAAATTACTTGTTCAATTCCTTCATTAAGAAAATAAGTCGAACACGAACAATAATTTGAGTTCAATTTATAAACGACCCGAGCATAAATAAATTTTTGTTCGATCGTGTTTGGCTCATTTTGGCTTGGATTAATTAAATAATAAATAAATAATATATAAAAGTTAAAATTTATATAAATGTAAAAAAAATTAGATGTTAGATATGTAAATACATAAGATATGGGTGGTATGTATGTAAATGCCTCTCAATTTTTTAAAAAATAAATTTGAGACATTAGATATGTAAATACATAAGAATTAGGTGGTATGCATATAGATATCCCTTATATTTTTCCCAAAAAAGTCCCTCCCGCCCTGCGAGCTGCCTGCTATGTTGAGTTTGTAAGAACCAGGATTCACTTACCCTTTCCTCTCACGCGATTTTTCTCCATTTCTTCTTTGATTGCTGCTCTACCAACTTCCTAAATTGTGACGCTTTCCTTTTTCTTCCTCAGGCGCTCATTTTTCGTCTTCCCAATTTGCACGATCGCACTGCCTCTCCATGTGGTAAGAGTCGAGCTTGGGCTAGAACTTCGAGATATAGCCTCCTGCTCTTTCACCCTTCCTTTTTGTAAAATTTGATTCACTAGCATTTTGAAAAATTTGATTCAAATATTCATAATATCTTCTTATTGCATAACGTTTCAGAGGCAAGTCTGCATTTTAAATAACTATCCTCAACTCAGGTTATATACTCATCTATATTTGACCAACCAGTAGACCCTCTTTAGTTTTTCTCGTCATGTGTAGGCTTTTCTATTAGATTTTATACCATCAAATTGCTGATTTCAGCAATCTGAAATTCATAACAGCTGTGAAACAAAGCAAAAGCAGTGGCAAAAGCAATTTGGCATCCGCAGCACCCCACCATGCAGTGGCAAATAAAGCAAAGAGGAGGGAAGAATAAATCAAGGAAAACTCATTGATTTCTGTTTACTTTTTCTTCAAGAAATCAAGCCTTTAAATACACAATACAGCAAAGGTAATATCTAATTATTTTTCTAAATAAACTCCATAAAGAAAAGAAAAAACTACCTAAAACAACAAAATAGATGTTCCAATCCTGAAAACATGAGAAGGAATATAGACAGAACAAAGTAGCACAGCTAAAATTTGTGCCAAAAGATCTATTCTAAATAACGTTGACACATCATGCAGCCATCACAACAAATTAATGTAAGAGAATTCATTAGCTGGACTCAAATAATTGGATAAAGGCTGATGATAATCAAGTTCGTCATCAGTTTGGTTAAGAATGAACAAAACAACTAAGAACCAGCATGCAAACCAAAATATGTCATTCAGCAAACATTACAGAAGTATGGAGGGAGAAAACCTCACAGTAAAAATAATAACAAAAAAATAAAGATCCAACCATTCCGCAATTTTAATTTTTGGAAACATAGAAAGAAGGTAGTTAATAAAGATTTGGCATAAAATCACTTTACATGAAGCAAATAAATGTGCTATGAAATTATAAATAATGGAAGGTAAAAGTGAAAAAACTATGATAAATAGCATGATTAAACAAAACAGCGGAATATGAAGATGATGCTTAAATTAGAAGTTTCCACAATAAATCCTTAAGCATTAGGTATAGAAAGATCGACATAAGGATTTGAAGAACATAATCAAAATAGAAAGTAAGTTTAATGAGCTTACGGGAAAGAATTCCTCAGTTTCTGGATCTGGCCGATCCCTTCCACCACTTGGTGCTATCCAAATAATCTGTGATCCATTCCTTGAATTTCACAGAATCTTAAGTGAGAGCATCGTAAAAAGCTTAATCATGATAGAACAATGCTCTGTAGAGACTCACTTTAAAAGACCTATCAATTCTTTAAGGCTTCGAATATTTGCACTTGTTTTCCGATCAACTAATGCAGGATCATCAAACAAGTGTTTCTTAGAATATACACACAGTAGGTTTCTGGTAGAAAAGGATCGCACTAAATTATCAAATATTCAACATAAAGTCAATGGCAAAGCAAGATCATAACTTGAAACAACAAGAAACCGATACAAGATACCTTCCCATACTGAATGGCTTACAAAGTGGATCAGTAACAACTCTATCCCCAGCTACAAAAATCTGAAATATACAAAATTCACCAATAATAACCTCACAGAATTCCTTTATGGGGATTTACATGCATAGCACAGAATTCTTATTTTTATAATCTGAGATCTAAATATCTAAGTTTAATTAATTCTTTAGTGTCTAAATAAAGATACATGAAAAGATAAATCACATTTTAGATAAGTTAATGTTAGTGATATTTTTTAAGTTATTTAAATATTAGAGTGTCCATATAAGTAAATATAAATTCAGATTGCAGATAAGTAAATATATAGGAATTCTGTGGAATGTACATAAATCCCCCCAATTTCTTTATTAGCACTTAACAAATTATTTCAGAAATTCAAGATATTGAGACTACCATTGACTCAGCAATTCGAGGATTTGTCCTTTCAAGCAGCAAGGCGATTATTGCTGGATCTGCCTCCGTTTGATGGTTAGAGAACAAAATTATGTTATGACCCTATAGCTCACAGTAAAAGGTGATATAAAGGTGAGAAGATGCCCCGTCAAAACATGCCTAAAAATTTCAAATAACAAAAAGCTAGAATAAAAAAAGTTAATGAGACAATAAAAGAGATGTTACCTGCTGAGGAAAATTTACATAAGAATGCCTATCTGGGAATTCAATAATAAGCCAAGATTTTCACAATAGCAATTAATATTTCAAAAAAATAAAGGAAATCGTAAAATTAGAGCAATCAACATTAGAATCATTAATTCGATTTGGAGGGGTAAGAGAAAACAATCCACATATACAACTTCAAGGGATCCACACACACAACAACAATAAGAACATTCAATTGGCCTCAAAATATTTTCCTTCATCCATCAATCTATTACAAATCAAAGATCAAAACCTAATCAATACAAACAATTATTAACATTTCAACGGAAACCAACTCTTAATTTTTGCAAAATCTAACATTTTGTGCTAGCTGCTCCATTCTCGTTCTTTATAGCCGGCAATTTCTCAATGAGGCGTCCCAGTCTTGAGATGATATGTAAACTTATGTCATGTTTATAACTGGTTAGAGACTATTCTATTATACTACATGGTCCTTGGAATGTTATTATCAGATTATCAGCAGAAATTGATTACACTATGCTTTTCAAAAGATGTTTCTAAATACATGTGACTTTCTGATGCATACATCAAAACCGTCCCCTCACTTCGACTCATGCATAGAATCCCCAATCATTCTTATCTAGATTTCATTTCCTTAACTTCAATTTCACTATTATAACCGATCCGGATTATATAATCAAGATTTAACCACTGACAAACCTTAACTAATTAATGTTGCAACCACTCCTCTTTTCAAACTGAGTGTTGCAAGGTTTTTATTAGCAATCAGTGTTGTTAAAAGCACGCATCAGAGCGCGCTTCGGACTAATGTATTCAAGTCAATCAAATCCCCTTCAATTAGCACTCAAGTTAGATGTGAGTCCTTGTATTTTCTATCTTCATCTAATCACAATGTTCGCCTCTTTTGGTTGGATGCGAGTCCATGCACTTTCCATCCTAATGTGTTTAGGTCAATCAAATTCCCCTTTGATTAGCTCTCAGGTTAGATGTGAGTAGGCTTGTAAATGAACCAATGCGCTTGATAAAAAACTCGAACTCAACTCAATTAAGACTCAATCATATTCGTTCAAGTTAGTAAATAAACAAGCTTGAAAAATTTTTAAAAGCTCGGAGCTTAAAAGAACTAAATATGAACATAATCGAACGGGTTCATTTATGTTCAGAAACAAACTCATTTGTTCAACTAATAATTTATTAAATACTCAATATTAAGTTTGATGATAACTCGTATCATATATGATAAATTATTTAAATAAAATTTAATTAACTAGAATTTATTTAGTTAAATTTAATAGTAATATATTATTATATCGATAAAATTTTTTGATCAATTATTAATTATATATTTATTTTTTTAAAGATTAGGAGTTAAATGTCAACACACAAAAGACTTATGTGGTATATATGAAATGATCATTAAAATTAACTTTAAACCACGCAAAGCTTACTTTCCTTTTAGTCTCTCACAGTTTCGTGTCTCCTAGTTTTGCCAGAAACATACAAAACTCTGAGTTGTTAGAGCGTGCAAGCATCGAAGGCAACAACGAGATCGTGGTGTGCAAGCATCTCTGAAACTTGTATATCTCTCATTTCCACATAGCTCATAAAACCTACCCAATTAAAAAATTGTGTCGAGAAAGTTTACTGCAATCATTATAAGTTATATATGATTAGAATAAGGATGTATCACGACTCGGCCCAATGCTTAAAATTAATTAAAGCGGAAACTGCAATCGAACGACATTAACATTTCATTTTACTATTCACAAAATTTCAAAAACTTCCGATATATATAAAATAGTCAATAAACCACAAAGTGCAATAAAATTAAACATCCATAAACAATATAACCTGAAAACCACATCTTAAACTAGTATTGAACAGTATATCAATATCTGAAAGAAACGACAAAAAAAGAAACTACAAATACAACATAACTAGTAACTATTAGGATATTAGTTGCAGTCCTGTAAACCAAATCTCCTACTAGACATACCAACCTAAAAAATTTCTTTTTCCAGAAAAAAAAACATTAACTTCAGCTATATGTTTGACTTAGTGTGTAATTATAATATTTATATGCACTACATTACGATATTTTACGCTATCCATGAATGACCAAAATAAAATATAACTCAATATTTTATAAACCTTGAACTATCACTTTAATTTTATTTATTCTCGTTTCACTTTAAGTATTTATCATTTTATGTTCTTTAATAATCATAACATGATTATCATCATACCCGAAGGTATACTCAAAAATGTGCCCGAAACACCCTAAAAATGTATCCAAAAGTACCCTCAAATTGTACACGAATATATACCTTTACCATTTCCTTTAACGTGCACGGATACATCGCATCCCTTGTCAATACCATCTATGGGTAATCCTGTGTGACTTAATCTACACTTAGCATGTCATATTAATTAAAGTCCTTTACAATGTACATTCATATGTCAGTTAATTTCCTCACATATCTATGTCATTATAGGCTTTCAATACGTAAGGCATAATTGAAAAACTTATTTTAAATCATTTAATAAAACAATTCTTCATTTAATAAAATATTAATTTAATACATAAAATAAGATAATCACTCACATTTGCTTACAAAAGACTTCTAAATCAGTTTAACCCTTCATTTCCCTGTACTTCTCCTAGCACTTCGACCTCTCTATTGTACTTAATTTAGTTGTTTGATAAAATAAAATTACTATAGTTAATTCATAAAAATTTTTGAAATGAAATTAACACCATTAATTAACTAATTTATATAATCAATACATAAAACTAGAAAATTTTTACATTATCCCTCTTAAATTACTTGCTTCACCTCTTCCTCAAAACCCAAGAATTTATCGTATTCTTTTCATACTTTCCAATCTAAATAAAAGTTAATAGTATTAATTAATTTAGCATAATATATCTTTAAATTCAATAATAACATAAGGCTTAACATTTACTTTACAGATTTTCAGGTCGGTATCCTTCCTTACTCGCTCGCTTCACAAACTTCTCCTTCAAAGCAAATAATCTTTGTATTAAAGTTCTAATTAAATTTGAGCTTGTATTTAAACAATCACATACAATATATACACACATATAATTAAATTTGGCCTTAGATAAGGATGCAAGCAATAGCAAATAGTAGAACTGTGGTCAAACATACTACATTGAGAGCAATAAAAAAGATATGGTTCTATTTCAACCTTTTGTTAATACCCGTTGTGAGTGGTTCCAATCCATACCTCATCCGGAGTTGGTTGAGTGATATCTCTCTCAACTAACACACAAGCCACAGAGAGTCTGATGACGCAAGCGTAGGACTATCAACCTTGAGAGTAGCAGTTGCTAAGAAGTAGAGAATTTTCAAGTTGAACAAATGTAATCCCGAAAACTTTATCCAAACAGGAATGATAGGGGACTTTGCTTTTGGATCAAAATCGATAGTCCACTTCAAAATTTTCATAAAATGGTTGTCGATCGATAACTTTTCGAGAAAAAATACATGTAATTGACATCGTAAAATACCTAAATAAGTGCATGTCGACCATCAAATAAGTCAATATTTCAACTGTCTAATAGCTTCATAGCATCAAAATCTTTTCGAATGATCTCAAATTTTGGGTGACCATAAAGGAATTTCCCTACTAGAGCAAAACGCCAAGCCCTACTAGAGCAAAACTAGAGCAAAACGCCAAGAAGACGCGAGAGTCCTAGTTTCAATCTAAGTGAGAATAAGAGCAGACTTCTCATTTCTTTTACCAAGCTTTTTAATGAAAGTGTAATCGCCACCACCTTCAAGAGTCTCGTGAAAAGATTGTGGAACATTGCAGGACTTGCCAATACAAAAATCAAGCTCTGAATTTGAAAGAGGAGCACGAGTAGAGATAGGAAAGTCGTCGGCAAGTGCAGTGCCATAGGAACGGATCGTCGAGGCCATCTCCAGAGCGGTTAGGCGACCCGCTAGCAAAATGCGAGCAGACTTCGGGGAAATTGCTTGTCGGGCAGGGCAACAGAGACGTCGTCGAGTATGAGAGAGATGGCGCGAGTCGTGATGGCTAATGAGGAGCTACGAGCGAGCATCATCGACTGCAAGTGAGGAGAGACGACGCGAGTGAGCGACGTCGACAGAAGGACGACTGGGAACGAGCGTCGTCAAGAAAGCTGGGAGGGCGTGAAAACGTCGTCACAGGAGACGACGGAGAGAGAGAGAGAAATCGAGGAATCACCGTCGGGAATCACCATCGAGCGAAACCCTAGCAGAGCCCACTGCTGCTGTCGACGCAATCAATATATATATATA